CACTGTGCTACAGGCACCAAGCCTGCTGAACGATTTTTAAGGGAAAAAAGGTCAAGACAGAGCTGTGCTTCAGAAAGATAGTCTGGCACAGCATGTAGGATGAATCAAAGGGGACAGAGAGCCCTTTTTGTAAGTTGTAATGAAGGAACAAGAGCAGGCCAAATTCCTTAACATTCTCTGGAAGTCAAAGGGTTAAAATAAGGTATTTATTGAAGCCTGTTTACAGTTCAGTTAACCAGTAAACCAGAGTCAGTGAAACTACCAGTCTGGGGAAATGCAAAACCTTTCCAAAGGTTTTTCTTGGTTAGGAAAAGAGAAATGAGAAAGAGACGAATGACTATTCCAGAGCTACATGAATAATTTCCAGCTTCGGGAGGAACAGTTCTGAACGTCCTTCCAGGCGCTGTCACGCTGGTGTTTCCTGGCAAGGGACTAGGCAGCAAGCCGGTTGTAGGCCCCTGGGATTTCCAGGCAGGTGAAAAGGCCAGGCTGTTTGGAGAAGTGGAGCGCATTGCAGCGACTCTCTTTGGAAAAGCCCAGAAAGATGTCAGAGCTGCTCTCAGTCTTCCTCCGCCTCCTCCTTCTCTTCAAGGTGGTTACCCCGGTAACCTTTCGCCACCACCGCTATGATGACCTTGTCCGAACGCTGTACAAGGTGCGCAACGAATGCCCCCAAATCACGCGAGTCTACAGCATCGGGCGCAGTGTGCAGGGGAGACATCTCTACGTGCTGGAAATCAGTGACTACCCTGGAACCCATGAGCTCTGTAAGTCCCGAGCAGTTTTGGGGGCGGGTCCTCCCTGATTAGGGTGGTTTCTGGGGAGGTCTGAGCAACCCTCCACCTATCCAGTCTACATTTCTTAGCCTGGGCTAACAGAGAAGCGGCACAACCCCAATTTAGACTCCAGCCTCTCCATCCTTTTGGGTTTCTGTTTGCTCAAAACCTTAATGGTAAACACTAAGTTTTCTTCCCTGCTTGGATCCCATTCCCTTCCTTCCCTGCATTACTCTTCTTTTCCCCTTGACATTAACATCAATTCTTTCACAATCCAATGGCTCTGAAGAAGCCATAAGGAGAAACAGTTAGCCCTTCTAGTTTCTCCAGGAAATTTGGAAATGTTTGGAGACATCTCTTTCAAAGTGACAGTGAGGTATCCTAGAGGGAGTTTGAGGGCTGGGGTATTAGTTTTACTTACTAGATTCTTTTTTGTTAGTTTGTTGCTCTTATAAAAGCAATTTATGGGCCCAGCGCAGGGCCAGTAAGTGGCTCATGCCTATAATCTTAACACTTGGGGAGGCCAAGGCAGGTGCATTGCCTAAGCTCACAGGTTTGAGACCAGCCTAAGCCAGAGCAAGACCTCGTCTCTAAAAATAGTCAGGTGTTGTGGCAGGCTCCCATAGTCCCAGCTACTTGGGAGGCTGAGCCAAGAGAATCACTTGAGTTCAAGAATTTGAGGTTGCTGTGAGCTACAATGCCATGGCACTCTACCAAGGGTGACAAAATGAGACTCTGTCTCAAAAGAAAAAAAGCAAAAGAAAGAAAAAGAAAATTACATAGGCTGAGGCAAGAGAACTGCTTGAGCCCAAGATTTTGAGGTTGCTGTGAGCTATGATACCACAGTGCTCTACTGAGGGTGACAAAGTAAGACTCTGTCTCAAAAAGCAATTTAGCCTCAGCTCCCATAGCACAGTGGTTACAGTACCAGCCACATACACCAAGGCCAGCAGGTTCAAACCTGGCCCAGGCCAGCTAAAACAACAATGACAAATTGCAACAACAACAAACAATAGCCAGGTATTGTGGGCGCCTGTAGTCCCAGCTACTTGGGAGGCTGAGGCAGGAGAATCACTTAAGCCGAAGAGTTTGAGGTTGCTGTGAGCTGTTATGCCACTGCACTCTACCAAAGGCGACATAGTGAGACTCTGTCTCAAAATTTAAAAAAAGCAATTTATGTTGGATTAAAAAATAGAAATTAGATCAGGAAAAATAATAAAACTCACCCCAAATCCCATCACTCACAGATAACCATTGTTAACATACCAATGTGCATCCTTCCAGACTTTTTTCCATGCATATTTAACCCCCATCACAGAAACACTTATAATTCTTTTATAAAAATGGGATCATCATGCTGCAGCTGCCCTTCCCATTTCATAGTCTGTTAATGATTAGCATCCGTGTCTATAAATGTAGATCTATATTATGATTTTTTTGGCTCCAAAATATCTCATTGCATGATTGTATTGAACTATTCATGATGGACACTGAAGTTGTTCCTACTTTCTCACTGCTTTACTTAAAGCAACTGAAATGATATTCAAGTTAAGTCAGTTTCTCCCTCGAACTGTCAACTTCAAATCTCTCTTTACCTCTCCACTCCTACACTCCATTCCTCTACTCCACTCGTATATCTGTCCATAATCTGAAGGACAGATTATGCTGTGCTGATCCCTATACCCCCAGCCCTAGTCCTACTCCATCACAACCTGTCCAGATTATTGCACTAAACTACTAACTGGTCTCCTGACCCCTAACTGCCATTCTCTGAAACTTCCTTTTGGTACACAGATACCAGAATAATTTTCCTAAATACTGACATTATCTCACTCTCTTGCTTTAAAAACCTCATACCCAATGGACTGGCCATGGCAGCTTCAGAAAATTACATAGGGGAGCCGGGCATGGTGGCTCACGCCTATAATGCTAGCACTCTGGGAAGCCGAGGTGGGTGGATTGCCTGAGCTCACAAGTTGGAGACCAGCCTGAGCCAGAGGGAGACCTCATCTCTGAAAATAGTCAGGTGTTGTGGCAGGTTCCTATAGTCCCAGCTACTTGGGAGGCTGAGCCAAGAGAATCACTTGAGTTCAAGAATTTGAGATTGCTGTGAGCTATAATGCCATGGCACTCTACCAAGGGTGACAAAATGAGACTCTGTCTCAAAAGAAAAAAAAAAAAAGAAAGAAAGAAAAAGAAAATTACATAGAGAAGGCTTAAGGAAGGTTATGAGGTTATATGGGGATGATTGCCTTGCTTTGAAGCTGCCCTTACATATCGAAAAGCTTGCTTCTAATCAGATCGTATATTCATTGTAGAAGTTTGAAGATGTTAATGGAGATTATGGGGTTAGCCCTCAACTCCAGCCCCTCAACTCCAGCTCCCTTCTTGGTGCCCCTGTTCTTTCTAACATTCAAGGCCTTAAGGCCTTCTTTGAAGCTTCATGTAACTCTAGCCCTTATTGATCCCTCTTTTCTCTGAAGCCCCATAACTTGAGCTGTTCATCCATCCCTTCATTTGTTCATTCCACAAATACTGATACCTACAATATACAAGCACTTTTGTAGACTCTGGAAGGAAAGAATAAAACAAAAACCCTGCCTCCATGGGTCTGAATTCTAATGAGGTAAGACATCAGTGAATGGGTAACTAAATGAATGAGTATTATGTGAGATGGAAATAAGTACTACAGAGAAATCTTAATCCGGACAGGATAGGGATGCCTTGGAGAATATGGAAAAGAGAGGGGCAGGTCACTGTTGCTTAGGAAAGGCTTCCCCACTGAGGTGGTTTCTGAGCAGACATCTGAAGGACAGATTATGCTGTGTTGATATTGGGGAGGAAAAGATGGCATGCAGAGGGAAGAGTAAGCACAGTGCTCCAGGAGCCCAAGTGTGCTTGGTACATGTGAGGAGAAGCAAGGGGCCCTGGTGGCTCTAGCAGAGTGAATGACGGGAGAGCCAGGGACAAAGTCAGAGCCATGTGGCTGGGGGTCCTGGGAACAGAAGGTCCTGCGGGCCTTATGGGCCTTGATAAAGAGTTGGGCTTTTACTTTAAGTGAGAAACCACTGGAGGGTTTGTTTTAAGGAGAAGACAGACATGATCTAAATTAAATTTTTTTCTTTTTGAGACAGAGTCTCTCTGTGGTGCCTTGAGTAGAGTGCCATGGCATCAAAGCTCACAGCAACCTTAAACTCTTAGGCTTAAATGATCCTCTTGCCTCAGTTTTTCTATTTTAAGTAGAGATGGGGTCTCGATATTGCTCAGGCTGGTCTGAAACTCCTGAGCTCAAGTAATCCACCAGCCTCGGCCTCCCAAAGTGTTGGGATTACAGGTATGAGCCACCAGGCCCAGCCTTAAATTTTTTAAAGATCACTTACAACTGGGGTTAGCAAACTAATGCCAACGGGCCAACTACCTGTTTGGGTAGATGGAATTTCATTGGAATGTAGCTATGCCCATTCATTTCTGTCTTGCCTGTGGCTGTTTTTGCTGGAAGGGATGAGTAGCTGTGACAGACACAATATAGCCCACAAAACCTAAAGGATTTACTATCTAGCCCTTTACGGAATTTTTTTTACCAACTCCCAACTCAGGAGAACAAACTTAATGGGGCTGGGTGGACACAGGGACAGCGAGTGAAAGATTCATTGCAATAATCCAGGTATGAAGGTTTGGGGGCTTGGATCAAAATGATAGCAGGGATTGTTATGAGAAGAGGACATATTCTGGATATACTGAAAGTAGAGCCAAGGAATTTTATATTGAGCCCCTATTAAGTGCATGACACTCTGCTAGGTTCTACAGGGCAATGGTTCCCAGACTTTTGGATTTCACAGAGAAGTTTTTATTTTAAGGTTTAATAAAGGCTCAGCGCCTGTGGCTCAAGTGGCTAAGGCACCAGCCACAGACACCTGATCTGGTGGGTTCGAATCCAGCCCAGGCCGCCAAACAATGACGGCTGCAACCAAAAAATAGCCGGGTGTTGTGGAGGGCGCCTATGGTCCCAGCTACTTGGGAGGCGGAGGCAGGAGACTCGCTTGAGCCCAGGAGTTGGAGGTTGCTGTGAGCTTTGATGCCATGGCACTCTACCCAGGGGGACAGCTTGAGGCTCTGTCTCAAAAGAAAAAAAAGTTTAAAAGTGAGGGATACTGGAGGGAACTAAAATAGATATTGCAAATGTTAGTAGTAAAGTAAAGGAATACGGTTGTGAAGGAGTACCTGCCATGTACCATCCCAATACTTTCTAAAAGAAAGGACATTTTAACATCAAGAAAAGTGAGAAAGACACGATCTAAGATTAAAGAATGCACCTTGGGTGGTGCCTGTGGCTCAGTGAGTAGGGCACCGGCCCCATATACTGAGGGTGGCGGGTTCAAACCCGGCCCTGGCCGAACTGCAACCAAAAAATAGCCCGGCGTTGTGGCGGGCGCCTGTAGTCCCAGCTACTCAGGAGGCTGAGGCAA